TCAAAAGGAGCTTTCTTTGGCTGCAGCTGCTCTGGGGGCTGGAACAGTGTCTCTTCCATGTGCAGGAGGTCTCGCCCTCACCACAACACTGTCCTTGGCAGCAGGAAGCTCTTTAATATGCTCTGGTAGTGACAGTCTTTAACTGTGCTTAGACTGGTAGAACAATGGTAATTCCTCAAATAGAGAAGAGGAAGAGTTGCTAAGTTTCTAGCTCTTTCCTGTAGCTGTTATGAAATGAATCAGTTAAATATGGGCTTTTTTTTCTTGAGTATTTTTTAGCTTGGTGAGTGTAAATTTGCCTGTTGAAATGTGATACTTGAATTTTCTTGTAATGTGCAAGACAGCCTCCTCTGGAAGCTTTTCATATAGTGTTGTTAGCTGTTTGTATGCAAAATATTATATTAAGTGATGATTAAAAGGCAAAAGAAGGCTATTTAGAGGCCACCTACCAGGGTAAAACCTCTGCTAGTTAAAGATCTGAGCAGAATTTAGAGGGTTCCAGACACTTGGATGCAGCAGTGAGTGCATCATAAATGCTATAACAAAAAAATTCAATGAGTTGCCTTAAATAGAATTTCAGTATAAATTACTGCATTAGGATAGTATCTTTGGTAAATCTGTTGATGATGAAACCCAGTAAGTCCTCTAAAAATGCGTCCTGAGTGTTGACAGTTTGAGACAAAAGTTTACTAACAATAAATTTTGGAAAAGGGACATAGTCTACCTGGGGGTGAGTGCTGTCACTGTGGACCTTGTCATCTGATCGCTGGTGGGCAATGTCTCTTTCTCACTGTATTTAGTCGTAGTCCTCGTATCTCAGCAGTGTGCACCTTGCCTGTCTGGACTGATGGAGCTAGATTTGTATATGGTCATCAGTCCAAGTTGGTTATCTTATTGAGCAGCATTTTATTTTGTTTGCAACCCAAATGGTAGGCGTGCTAATGGTTATGCCAGCCCTCAAACCTAGGAAAACCTCATTATATGGTTTAGAAATACAAAGTATAAAAGCTTAATGCTAATGAATCTTGAGGCTTTTCTTTGAATAAGTATTGATGGTGAGCTAGATAAATGGTTTAAAACTGCTTTGGCAGGGTAATTCTCAAGGGACAAGGCAAACAAGAGTCTAAATTATGATGGGACTGGATCACGCTGATGTTCTGCTATAGCACTTTTGTTGTGTAACCCTTGTGTAACATCTGTGTTGGGCAGTACTTGGCTGTGAACACTTCAGTAAAAGTGGTTTTACTAAAAGTAAGACTTCAAATGGATGAGGAGGATGAAGATAAACAGGCAGTGCCTGGCACTTACTTGTCAGGTAGAAATTAGGGTGGTCTCTGGGTCTCTTGTAGGTTGAGCTGCAGGCAGAGCCTGTTGAGATCAGCAAGACTGCCTTGCCGATGGTGAGGTGGCCCCTGGGTATTTTTCAGAACGAAGCTCCCTCGGTGCTTGCTTGTTCAGGCTTTTTTACGTGCAAGGAGAACCAATTTGTATTTCTGTGCCAGTACCGAGGCTCTTGAAACACTTGGTAAAGCTGCATCTGCTCTGAAGCGTTGTCAGGCCTCTTATCTGCTGCCTGGGAATGGAGAGCAGTACCTCCCACCACCTGAAATGGTAGAAACCATACTTTGTTTTTCCACTTTACAACAACTGGCTCAAAAAAAACCCATGGCTTGGTTTGAGGAAAAACCTCTTTGTATGTTGTTTCCACACCAGTTGTGCTTAACAAAGCTCAATTTTACAGCAAACTAACTTCTCAGCCAAGTATTAAATTACTACGAAACTAGTGGTTAAAATGCCACCGGTACAGCCTGGGCCACGCTTGCCCCGGGTCGGGCTGCTGACAGTTAAGAGCAGTATGCTGTTGGACGTGTTAAAAGCTGTGTTCGGAGGGGGGAAGCTAGCGTTGCCGGGGTGTGGTTCTCTAAAGCACAAGGCTGTTTCCTGTGGTATCTTAGCTCACGCTGTCTTCTAAAATAGCATTGGCTGAAGTGGCAAGTGCTAGACCCCATTCAAGACTTTGCTGCTCCTAAACCTGAGGTTGCTACTCATCTCGAGCACAGGGGGGCTTCTACTAGGTGGGGAAAGCAGTTTATCTCTTCCTATTGAAGGGTGATAACTGGTCACGTAGCCTAAGTGCATTTAAGTGAGTGACGATGAAGGAATTTTGCTGGTTCCAGCATGGGTCTTAATTTTACTGTGCTAACAAAGATGTGAGTCTTGCAAATACGTATCCTGCATGAGGATACTTACTGCAGCAGCTTTATTTTAAATTTTCAGAGCAAACCAGACCTTAATAGCTTAAAAGCCATCCGGGCACAGGTTGCAAAGAGCTGCCACAGATGTTTCAGTTCTGTTTTCTGGTGCTTCCCCTGTGCTCGGGCACTTCACTGTTCAATCACCTATGCAGATGATACCAGATAAGAATAGCTGCTGTGTTTTATCTGTAAACAGAGCAAAAAGACTATTATTCTTTCAGGGTAGCTGGTCCATTAGTGTTATAGGTGAACAGGAAAGACTTTAAACAAAAAGCAACCTCTTGCTTAATGGCTGATTTAATGTAATCCCTCTTATACGTGGCTTATGGACGTCTTTGCTCCCACTGGTAGGTGTGCTGGGCAGGTCAGGTTTACAAACCACCACTCTTTCTGGTAGAAGAGATTGCTTCCAAGTATAAGGAACAGCTGGTTTGGGGAGCGTTCAGCCCTTCTAGCAAGATTCCTGGTTCACCAAAGCACTGTGAAATTAGCTAATTGTCAACATCTAGGATCCGAGGAGAATAATTTTGGGAAGCTGTAGCAAGAGAACTCAAGGCAACTGCATGCTATTGAAAGCTGCTAATTTTAAACAAAGCTTGATTGCTTATGAGTTCAGGTTGTTTGCTCTTTCCGTGCTACTTCTATGGGATGGGTTTTCTTTATTTTGACTTACTTGTGTCAGAAGGTTCAGAGGGCTTCGAAAGCGGCTTGTTCCTTGTCTGCTGGTTCATGATATCTTTGCTCCAATAATGTCTAAATAGCATTCCTTACGCATACAACAATTAGAACTGCAACTCTTCTTGACTTCAGTTTTGCTGTGCTAAGCCTACCTTTAACCTCTTATAGAATATGCTTACATTTTTAGCTAAACTTAAAACAAGAAAACCTTTAGGTTCATCATGAGGGAATATCAAGTACAAAATAGCGGGTGTGCCTAGGCTCAAGTAGGCTTTTTGGGAAACTTCAATATGTATTTGGATGTAGTGGTTTCTTGGCACTTGACTTAAACTTAACTAGCAGAACGCTTCTTGCTTATGGAAAATAAGCTGGTTGTAGTCCTCTCGCGGTCTGCTGCTGCTTTCTTAGTGAACAAGATGTGAAATGTGTCTGTATACTTGGGAGAAATGCAGGGATCAGAACTGGCTGTGATCATATCAGGATAGGGTGGTTCCTTGAATATTTCTCTACTTACTCGAGCTTTTTTGGTCTCCGGTGTCATGTGGTTAGCTTATAGTCTAAACGCGAGTTTGAGTTATTCTTACTAAAACTGTTCACAGCATAATTCCCCCCCACCCCTTACCCCTGGAAGGCTGGTGGAGTGTGCTAAGAGGATTGATCGCACTGAAGAGCAAATAAATTAGCATTTGTTGATGTGGGGTAAATGGCTGTTGGCAAGAAGGAGAACTATGAATGCAAGGTCTGTATGCTGGGGTTTGGTGCACGGTGAATATCTTGTCTGTACAACTTCAAGTTTTGAACCTTTGCTTTGGTGGAAAAGCATTAAAACAGTTTGATCTAAAATATCTGCAGCGTGTGCTCATAAATTGTGAGATGTCTTTACCTTTTTCGATTGATAGGTATGCAAATAGAAATGAATTCTCAAACAGCTTGGTGTACTTGCAGGCCTTACTTTGCCTGGTCAAAAGCTAAGGCATCTGCACTTGGGCAGGAGTATTCTTATCTACCCATAAGGAGCTACATGATGTTTTCCAGTAGCGATCAGGAGTTGTGAATGGAATTGGCTACGTTTTACACTAATCTGAGGTGAAATGCCTCTGCTGTTTAACTTGCTTCATGAGAACTATTGGTGAAAGATGTACAGATGTCTCCCTGCTTCTGTGGGATGAAAACGCAAACTCCCTTGCTGCCATCCCTTCCCACTTTCATTTCACATGTGAAAACGTGATGGTGAGATACTCCCGTCAAGATAGCGTGTCATACAATGTTTCTTCTGGAAGACCATTCATGATCTTACTTCTTATGTCTAAGGCTAATACTGTCATGAAATCTTGACTGCAATATTAAATTACACCTAAACCGTTTCTGCAGTGTTTAGAGATCTTTCACCTTCCTGAAAGAACAGGGAAGCAGTAGGCGGCTATGTAGAGATACTTCTACGTGCTTTGTGAAGTGTCTGTACATACTAGTGAATGTGTTAGTTCAGCATGCATCCTTGTTGCCATAGCACATGAGATCATCCTTGCGTCCCGTCTGCTTCATAACCACAGACCTTGCAGCATATCAGGCATTGTGCCTCACAGTTTCTCCAAATACCCATGGAGACTAGAACAGTATCGTTAGTATTGACTAGTCTTCTGTAGCAGGCTGAGTTGTTCGTGCTTCCAGGGACTTCCTTGACATTCATCCTTCAAACGGAAGGGTTGGATATCTGGTTGTGTGTATTGAGGTTTGGAACATCTCTGCTTTTGTGAAAGACTACAGAACGCTCTACACTAGAAATTCAATTTCATAAGCTGTATATGGCTCTCAGATGTGTCAGTATATGGACGGGAATATAGGAACAGACAGGATAAACTCTTACTCTGTGAAACAGGAACGTTACATTCTACAGGGATACTGGGAACACCGTGCTGGCAGGGCAGATGACTTTGTAACTGCTGGCAGTGAAGTTCCTGGAGGCTTGGGAGCTGGTCCCTGACTGTAGGCGGATGTTGGTTTTCATTATTGGGTAGTGTCACTTAGAGCGTGTGTTGTAATGATGCATTTTCTGTCTTCCAGATCAGTGTGCGTGTTACCACCATGGATGCTGAGCTGGAGTTTGCCATCCAGCCCAACACTACAGGGAAACAACTCTTTGATCAGGTAAGTGCAGAAGAGCTAAAGTCGATAACAGATGTTGTGATTCTATTAAGGCAATTTCTAAAGGGCTTCTAAGATTAAGCGACAGTGTGTATAATAACTTCAAGACAACTCAGCATAGTAAGAAATTATATGTTTTTTCAGAACTACTGTATTTTTTTTATCTCCGAGAATGTGTTGGGAGCTATTCATACCTCTGATGACCTGAATTGGTGCTATAGCTCATAATAATAATAATTGGAAAGCAGTAGATGTCTGCAGTCATAATTCATAAGACAAGAAAAATCTTATGAGGGAGCTAGTAACCGATCTTTGGTTGGCTTACTTGCAAGCATTGTGTAATTGATTTCAAAGAGGAGCTGGTCTCTGAAACAGGAGAGTTTTAGTTGGGTTTCAGATGTTGCTGCAGCCCTTAAGTGCAGGTGAAGTGATATTCTCTATTCCCATCAGGCCCTGAGGGAAATCTTAAGACAAGTTATGTACTGTATGGCTGTCTTTGTCTGGGGGCTTCAGTCTTCCTGTGCATTCACTAGCTAGGCAAATTTCCTCCGCCTTTGGCCCAAACAGAAGCAGGGAGGCATGTGCAGCCCAAAGTTGGAGCAGCTGAAGACAGTCATTATCAATTGCAGAGGTTGAAACTTTGACAGGCTCCACTGTGTTTCTCTGCTGTAATCCTGAAGGCTGTGGATTTGGTACTTGGAGGAAAATCTGAACAGTAAGTTCATAGCTTAAAGAAAAGTAAAATGAATCTTGGATACATGACAAGGTGAAGGAACTGCCAGACCAGCTATGTCAGATATGGGTGTGGTTCAGTAGTGCTGAGCGTTCTGGGGCAGCCCTACATAGTACCTATCTTAATGAAGACAGAACTTAAAGGCTGACCCACCCATGGAAGTCAGCTATTTTATTTGGGGCTAGCAAACCTAAGTTAAAATCTTTTTTTAGCTGTTTAACCACAAACTACTACTTTCTCTCATACTCAGCTGGATGATTCAACACTAGATTTTATATTGCTCTTTGCAGCCCAGCCCTGAAATGGAGGGAATGGAGTGAGATCCTAGGCTTTACTAAAAGAGCATCCTTTCATAATGGGAAAAGCAGAAAGGCTTTTAGGAAAGTTCTGAGTTGCAGCGTAGTTCTCAGCTGTCTCTGTGTTACTACATAGTCGTTCCTACGTATTTCAGCCCTGCGTGGTCTCAAATCTTACAGTTTTTGATTGATAGAAGTGAGAGCTGGATTCTGTCCAGAATCCATGTGTGCAGCATGGAATTCCACCATGGTTAGTTCATGGGAGCATATGCCAATGAAGCTGAGGTGATGTACTCCCAACTTCATCAAAAGGTGAACTGTTTTGTTTTGGGTTGTTTTTTTTTTTTTGGAGGGGGTGTTCTTAGCATGGATGCATCCCCTGATTATTTTTCAATATCTGGTTTCTGACATTATCCAAGCAAAGCACCAGGTGGAAAGAAGTTGTACTATTGAAGTCGGTGCCCATGATTTTTTTTTTTTTTTTTTCAGTCAGCTCTAGACTAACTGCAGCTTTTGCTGCAAACTGACATTGTGGTGGCAGACTTGGGCTTCAGCAAGTTGTCACTGTTTGAGAAGCATCTGATCATGTTTCCAGTATGGGAACTCTACATGTCTTAGTAATTGATTTCACTCCTTTGTGTCATGTTCTCAAACAGCTGCACATTCTCTTTCCTGCTGCAGTGTTTCACGCAGCACCTGTCTAAACAGAAGCTTTATTGTGTTTTTTTTTTCTGTAGCAAACACTTTGTGAAGGGAGGAAACAAATGCTGTTGCAGAACTAAGTTTCTAATTTGCTAATGTAAATGAGGCAGTGTTTACTTCAGCTAAATTGGGTTGTAGGTGGAGTTGGAAGAGGAAATACAGTGGGGGGAAAAACTTGTCTGAAGCTAGCTGTTAAACATTTGCTATTTCAAAGAGGTCTGGTGCACACCATCTCTTTATGCTGTCCATCTATCACACTCACTGGAACAGGGATTAAACTGCTTTCTACTGCCTAGCACACAGGGTTTCCTTGTGGAGGTAGCGATGTTGGTTCCTGGTAGGACTGATACTGAAATGAATGTCCTTGAGCCTCGCCAGTGGCAGATGTCCAGGCTTTGACTAAATGATTTGTCAAAGACCTAGCACAACAATGCTAGGTGGTGTTAGTGTGGTACCAGCACAGTGATGGTGGTAGGAAGACTAACCCTCTGCCAGGGCTTGAGAACGTTGTCAGCAGTGAGGTAAGGGAGTTGGCAGTAGATGTGGGGATGTGCAAAGTCTTCCCCCTCTAGCACGAATAAGGAATTTTGGAGGCTACTGCTATGTGAGTGGTTGAGGAGCCTAATCCCAGCTTCTATTGCTGCCCTGCAATCTAATCATTGGCCCTTTACAATTAAGGGAACTAATTGCAAAGGAGGTAGCTATTCAGCTTCTGCCACAGCAGGGAAACGTTTCATCTTGGTCTCTCGATGCAGATACATGTCAGACTGTTGTCTGTCCATCTTTTTTTTTTTTTAAATGGAAAATTGAAGGCTCTTTTCTATTGCAAAAGAGACTTTTTATGGTCAAACTTGCACATAAAGGAAAGGAAGTACTTCTTGTGTGCAGATATGCTCAAACATATTATTGATCTTTGCATAATGAACTAGCTAATACCAAACCAAAGCATGAGAGCCTCTAGTGAGCTGACACTAAATACTGAACTTGCTCCCTTTAGTATGGGGATGGGGCTTTGCATATATTGTCAGCTGGCATATATCCAGTGTGTTTCAAATGGCTGAGTTGTTCATGTGGATTAGTTCCTGTAAAGGGATAGTCTATGGCTGTTCTCCCTGCTGACACTGCTGATGGGGACTGAGCGGTGACTGCTGTCTGACATTCACTCTACCTCAGTATCTATCCCGAGGTGGTTTGGGTCCCATGGTGGGGTGTGTAAGTACAAAGTTACGGCTGTTCATTTTCTAACTCCCTTTAGCTATGTTGTGCTCCTGGAATTGCTAATCCAGTATTTTCTCCATGATGCTGGTTCTGAAAAAGGAGCTGCTTTCACCAGTGCTTTTTTGAGGGAAGGGAGAGTTCCTCCACAAAGGAAACGTAGGGCTTTGCTGTTGCAGCACATTGACCTTCTGCTGTGAAACCTGACTTTTGACTCTTTCACAGAAAAAATTTAAGATATCCTGCATGTTTTTGCCCTAGAGTGCCCTTTCACTTTGAGCTGTCAGTTCTGAGTTAAGCAAAAAAATAAGCTGCTAAGAATTACCAAGGTTTCTTGCTGCACAGCTACCTCTGTGCATGCTGCTGGCTCTGCTCAGTAACATTTAGGTAGTATTTGTTTCCACCTGTTGTGTATAAAGTTAGATAAACATATTCATTATGCCACACATAATTCTGACCTACTCTGAACGGGATTTAGGAGACTTTTGGAAAGCTTCTATCTGGGTAGTAGCTTCATGAGGAGGAACAGTCTGGGTCTAAAGTTCCATAGTAATAATAGGTGAATGGGCTTGAGGTAGAAAGGTTCCTGTCTCCCTCTTTCCTACTTGGTTAAATTCCAAAGTGAATTTTTGTAGTGATAGAACAATGCAGATGCTTCACTGCTCTGTTGGAAATTCTCTTCTGCCCCAGAGTAGCTGGTTGTGGAAACATCATTGAGCTGATATACGGTGCAGTAACATTGTGGTTTAATCTCAAGATCTTCCTGTAACACCCCATTCCCATGGCTTGTAACCGTACAGCTTTAGCTTAAATGGCTTAAGTTTGTGTACACAGGTAAAACGTGGATTAATTGAGACAGGAGGATTGTACTGTCTGTCTTCTATGGCTTTGCTTATGTACCTCTTAGCATCAGCTGCTGAACTCCAGTGCTTACTGCCTCACTAACAAAATCAGTAACTCTGCTCCCGTTCCTCAGCTGCTAGTGATGGATTAAAAGAAGAGCTTGAGGATGGGCTGTGCTTGTCAGGGCTGCTGCTTATCCCACGGGCCTGGTTACTTCACAGGTACCTTGAAATACTGCTTTCCTGGGGATGCAGGGCACAGGCACTGCAGCAGTAACAGCTGCTTGTTTTCCTCCTTTGCCCTTTTCTCTATCAGACTGAGGTGCAGCTGGACTGGAGATGGGTGCGCTAAACAAAGCATTGCTTTGCTTCGCCTATCTCCTACACATGAAAGATATGTTTCTCTGGTAAAACTGCTTAGCTACTTATTGCTGTGGATAGCTTTGAAGTTGTGGCCCTCCAATTTTTTTTTTTTTTTCCTCTCAAACTTCCTTTTTCTGAGTAAATTTTCTAGCTTGAGTCATCAGATTTTGGCCTGTTGAGGGGTCAAGGAGGAGCTAGCCTGTAACTTACACAGGGAGAGAGGTACCTAACTCGCTTGCCAAAGTGCTCCGGGGCTGGCTGGCTGGCAAGCTTTCACAGAAATGGCCTGGTGTAGTGGACACTGCATCTTACAGGCTCCTCAGGCAGCCTGCCTACAGACTGCCCACGAAATCCTCAACTGCTTTGACTTCTGCGGTATGAAAACATACTCCCTTCTTCCATGTCCCCCACATGCTGTATGAGGCACCTTCTCAGATGCTTTGTTTCTGATTGCTTCTGACCTTGGATCCTGCTGGCACCTTGTTCTTTCTTTCATTCCCCTTCAGAGCCCCTTATTCCTTCTAGTCTCCTGTAGAGGAGTCTTAGCTCTCTGCTCTACTGGGTCTGTCGGGTGGTGAACGCAGTCGATGGCCATTTGATGGGACTTACATCAGGGTCTTTTTAACAATGAGTGGTGGTTACTAAACTGCTCAGTCAGTACTTCCCCAACCTAAAATGAACTCTTTCTCCAGTTGCGGAACAGATTTGCTTCTCAGTTATGTGCTTAGTGCTATCGGAGCCTACAGCTGACCTTCGGTCCTTCCAATGCTAGACTTTAGACACTGCAAAGTCCAGGAGATGGTGGCTTCAGCATGCCACTCCTGAACAAACCTTTAGAGTAACCAAATGCACCCAATCTCATTCAAGGCGTTCTCTGTCCAATTGAGAGCCATGAAGCCAAGTTACAGGGTAAGGAGAAATGTGACATTAGAAAAACTGTAATATCTGTCACTTCAGACTGTGAAAGCATACAATTAAACTTCCCAGGAGGCTTTTTTTTTTTTTTTCAGTTTCCTGAGCTTTTGGGGTCAAAACTAACCTTGTAATAGAAAAGTGCACTCACTTATGGGTTGAAATTGTATCAATAAGCATCTTTCTGATCACTCCAGACCTGTACGTTATGTTCATCGTTGAGCCTAGTATGGAGTGGAGTGTGGGGGTATTTCTTTTTCTTCTTAATTATTAAGGATCCTACATCTTTCATTAAGAGCCAGAGCTGCCAAGATTCTGAGTTCATGGGCCCTGCCGTGGCTTGCTTATCTGCTGCAGCGAGTTTAATGGTTTTACAGAGTACCAGTTGTCAGTCTCTTCTTTCGTGGTTGCTAGAGCTTATACCACAGGCTCCCCAAATCCCTCTTGACTTGAGGAACTCCAGCTGAGTTGAGCTGTGTTTGGAACAAAAGCGGTGGGTCTCTCGTGGACTGTAAACTAAGCTTTGTGAGCAGGGAGACTGTAGAGAAGCCTTTAGCCTTGGTGAGGTCCTACCTGTTAGTGTTTAAATACATAGGAAACTGGTCTGGAGCACTTGATCCAGTAGATGAAAGCACTGAACGGAAAACTTACTATGGCAGTTTCATAGTAGAAAGCAGCAAGTCTCAGGGCAGTGGTTGGTTCCTCCAGCAAACCCCAGAACTCATGTTTGTGTAATGAAGGCTTGTGGTTGAGTGGTATGGAAATGTGTCTCAAATTTCACAGGAATATGTGGAAACTTGCTGGCTTTTATAAAAGCAGTAGTCCAACCAAAAATGGACTGCTTGTTGCTAAGGAGGTGAATGGCAAACTGTCATAAGCTTAAAAACACAAAGAAGATCCTGTCATTTAGCACTTTGAAAGGGAAAGTTAGAAATATATCCATCAGCCAAATGGGAAGGGAAGAGTTGAATATTTATGGCTGTAAATGGAGCCCATTTTAGGTGCTAAGTTGGGGTATCTGGAAGAGTGTTCTGAGTCATTTTGGACTACGGCATGTGAAACTGCAGGTGTGGCACTAGTTGAGAGCTGCTCCTGCAATAACATTTGTTAGCAGTTTTCTTTCAGAAATACTTGACATGCCTGTTGTGGGAAGGGAGAGAGGTCCCCTTTGTCTTTAACTAGGACAGTAGGTGAGATATGCTGTGGTATAGCCTGGGATGCTTTGGCCTTTGGCACAGGAACTTGGTCTGAGTGGAATGTCTTCTCTGCTTGCATGCTTTGGTCTTGCCCATGTGTAGATAACGCTTTCATGCAGGATCTGCACTTGTTTGCCACTGTGGTGGTGTGTTTCCTGGGCTGAGAATGAGGGCAATCTTCAATTGTCATCTTGATGCTAAAATCTACATTTAAGAGACAGCTTATGGCTCGCTCTCTGCTGTGGGGCAGCACTCAATATCAAGAACATAGTTCGGAGGGAGATGGGTGAGTGCTGAGGGGAAAGACAGGAGGAATCATGCAGACCTGGAAAATAAGGAGTAAGGAGAAGTGAGAGAAAAGGTTGCCTGGAAGACCTTGTGTTTCTTCTCTGAACAGAAGTAAAAAAATTGTACTACTGTGTGCTTAGACTGTCTGCAGAAGGTGAAGTGAGAGACACCAAAAATGTACCTTTCCCCTTAGGCAGTATTGTTTACTAAGTGGAAGTTTAAGTTAACGGGTACTTGATGAAGAGCTTTGTCATGGCTGGTCAAGGAACTGTGGGACAGCTGAATTTTAAGGTGCCTGTAATCTGTTGCCAGTTGTAGAGTAAGCCTTGTACTGCAGGCTGAACAAGACTCAGGGAATGATTAATGTTCTCCCTGGCGTGAAGAAAAGATGCTGCTCTCCAGCTGAGTGTGTCAACTTTAGGTATTTAAGTATAGTGGTCTGTGTTAAACAGCACTCTATATTCTCCTGTGTGCCAGCACTTCTCCTTCCTCAGCCACTGCCAGTAACTGTTTGCTTTCTGGAACATCTCACAGCTTGTCAGGGCTCCGAATGCTGTACGCCCCCAAACACAACTGAGCTGCAAACTGCCAGCCAGACTCCTTGCAGCTGCAGAAAGCTGTTTCTTCATGCTTTTCCCCTTGCTAAATGGAGCTGAACAACCTGCTAAAGCTGAGGTGGGAAGGAGAGAAGAGGACTATCCCCCCGCCTTGATTCAGGAGCAGCTTGGGGGTGTGATGTTGCGTGCTCTGTTGGCCAGTCCGTTGTTGTCCCTGCTATTGCTGTGCAGACTTGTGCTGTGGAATAAAAGTCCTTTTGTGCAGGGCCTTTCAGTTCCTTGCTGGCAGCCCGGTGCGGTGGATTCCCAGGCACAAGCTGCTGACAAGTGGAAGCGAGGCACAGGCAGCAGAGGGGGGACCGTCTGTCCGTCCATCCCGTTCAGATGCTAATGCTCTCCTCCTTAGGCTCCAGGACAGCCTTTCTCCCTCTCCTACTACGTCCTTTCGATGTGTGCGGCAAACTCTGGTTGTTCTCCTACTGAAGCTGTGTGTGTCCTGCTACATGATAGGCACTGGTGAAGGTTTATCTGCCCCACGTTCCTCTGTGTTTACAGGGGCTTTAGGACAGCTCTCCAGTTCATGGTCCAGCAAGGACAGGCTGAATCATTTCATGGACTCTAGTGACATGATGTATATAGAGTACACAACACTGCATAGGTTTTGTCTCTGTGTGTGCTACTAACAGCATGCCTCTGCTAAAAGCTGCCTTGGGTTTTGGGGCCCAAGAGGAACTAGGGCCCTAATGCTGCTTTTCTAAGGCCAGAAGAAATGTCTGATCCAAGCCCTAAAGAATCGAACTAGTGATATGTTTGTGGGGAACCCCTGTCTTTGCTGTTGTGTCTTGCCAAAGTTAGAGACCACATCAGAAGGGAACAGGGTGCATCCTTAGGATTTAACAGGAAGTAATTTAGAAGGAAGCAGGCATTTAGGGAGAAATCATAAACGATGGGACAGGGCAGTACAAAATTATCTCAGCTTACCTGGCAGGGGGCACGCCATGATCCGGCAGTTGGTTTTCCCAGGGTGATGCTCACCTGCTGCTCTCCAGTTGTTGAGTCCCTCGGAAGGAGGGGAGCTGTGGGCAAGCCCGGGGGGTGGGTGGTGTGTAAAAGCAGCTTACAGTGTCCTACTTCAGGTACAGTGTTGACATAAAGACAAGTGTCTTCTCCCTTCCCCTTTCTTGTCTAGTAATGGGGGTGACCGGTAAGTGTGGTTTTTGCCAGTATGAGAACAACTCCTGGGGGTTCAGGAGATACGTGGGGGAACTTCAGTTTCTAGACTTGCTGCTGCACCCTGTGGCAAGTCCCAGACTTGCCAGGGCACAAAGCTGTGGCCTCCTGCTAGTGAACAGGCTTTACCAAGAAACTTCCCCCTCCTTTTTACCAGCAGTAGCATTATACTGCAGTAGTCTTGCCCCCCCGTGAGGCTCTTGTCTCTTGTTACAGTATGTCTGTAAAGCCTTCTTAACTCTTATTTACATAGCACCCGTGGTGTGCTAGGGAAATGACTAAGGAGAGAGCTTACATAGTGGTGTAGTTAATTTCTGTGGTGGCTCTTTGTCCTGGCACAAGGGATAGCGTATCGATTTACCCACTGCAGTACCTCTTAATGGTGCCGCTCATTGAAGAGCTGGGTGAAAGGCTTGTCCACAGCTGTCGGTGGAGTAGAATACAAATCTTAAAACAGCACAGCCTAGTAGGACACAACCTAGCAGGGTGACTCATGCTTGCCCAGGAGTAGTTTGCATGATAAGAGAGGGGTGTACCTGAAAACGGAGCTTTATTGTTGATTCCTGGATACCTGTCAGACCTGTTGCATCATATTTTGGCTGTACATGTTGGCTTATAAGTAGCTGAAGAAAATAGTGTCCCAGTTGTTGTTTATAAGTAGCAAGAAGCCTTAAAGAGAGGAGGGAGAGGGAAGAATACAATACATTTCCCACTTCAGATCCCTCAAATGCCCTGTCATCTTTGCATGTGCACCATAGCCAGGGAGGCAGAAGGCTAGGGCACTGATCATCTTCGTGTTTCTCTGACCTTACCCTAACACGTTCTCTGCCACCAGTAAGATGAACCCATCTGGCTGGGGCACTTGCTAATCGTCTTTCTTCCAGGTTGTCAAGACAATTGGTCTAAGAGAGGTCTGGTTTTTTGGACTTCAATATCAGGACACCAAGGGCTTCTCAACATGGCTGAAGTTGAACAAAAAGGTATGTTTGCTCCAAGCTTTCACTTGTTCTGGGTTCCCTTCTCTTGGAAGGCAGGGGCAAATTCAGTCTCAGTATTTCTGTCGGGAATCTCTTCTTGCCCCTCCACACACCTGCAAGATTAGTGAGTTGGTGTTGCCTTCCTTCAGTCCACACACCCCCTCCCCAAGGTACAATGAGTCACGATGCCTGACCTGGTCCTCCTGCATCTAGTCCTGTCTGTTATCCAGGCAGATCTGTTACCCTTCCCAGTAATGTACCAATGTGGCGCTCATGTAGGCGTCTTGGTTGGAGAGAAACCTGGAAAGTAACTTACCTAGCACTGATCATAACTAGTGGTTTGTCAGAAGTCCTGTGGGGAGAGGTGATGAGGTATTTAGGAGTGAGGAATTGAAAATCCTTGCTTTTCTGCCCACTCACTTCTGCATTGGAAAGGAGAATTTTTTCTAATGCATGCTTGTGTTCCTGTTCGTAAACCTGTTCCCCTTCACTTGGTGTGTAGGCTATAAAATCTGGTAACTCTGTTCCAGGTAACAGCACAGGACGTACGCAAAGAAAGCCCCCTGCTTTTCAAATTCCGTGCCAAGTTCTACCCAGAGGATGTGGCAGAAGAGCTGATCCAGGACATCACGCAGCGCCTTTTCTTCCTCCAAGTGAAGGAGGCAATTCTGAATGATGACATTTATTGCCCTCCAGAAACAGCCGTCCTTCTGGCTTCTTATGCCGTCCAGTCAAAATATGGAGACTTCAACAAAGAGGTGCACAAGTCTGGCTACCTTGCTAGTGACAAACTGCTCCCACAGAGGTAACTGAACCTGGGTAGTCTTAGACCTTCTTTGCCTTTAAGATTTTGGGATTTTTTTTTTGAGGGGTGGGGTGTGTCTTGTTTGGAGTGTTCAGAATAAAACATAGCCTGGTGCCTCTTTGAGGATTGGGATTAGTATTCACTTAATTAGGAGCTTGAGTCTTAAACATCCTATTGCTACTGAAGAAACTCTAATCAGAAACAGTGAGGGCAGCTCCAAAACAAAAAACCATAATGCTACAAGGAGAAGCGCAACTGAATAAAACTTGTCATTTGTCAAAAGTCTGAATACTAACCAGTGTGTCTCTACCTAGTCATATAATAAAACTGCATTTCCTGGAGTGTTTTTGTTGGGGAACTGTGATGCCAATGGAGTATTTAATAAAGTGTTATTCAAGAGTGATGTGACTGTGCACATAAATGCAGTGGCTAGTCTCAAACATCCCATATACTCTTTCTAGAGTTCTGGAGCAGCACAAGCTTAACAAGGACCAGTGGGAGGAGAGGATCCAGGTGTGGCATGAGGAACATCGAGGAATGATTAGGTAACGGATGCGGTGTTAAACTGCTGTATTTAAAATAGTCTGATATATGCTAGTGTGTAATGTGTGAGTGCATACAAAAATCTGTGGCTCGCTTCAAGATGAGTTGGCGTTCTTCAGGTTATTCTGCTCAGAGTAACTAGGTTCACATGCCTCTGCCCTTGCTAGTCCACATCAGCTGGCTGCTCTTAGTAAAACAAAACTGAGTTTGCGGAGCGTGTTGTTTATCTACTAGGGTGATGCTTGGAACCTTTGCCAGCTTGTTCCTGCTCTGCCCGTGTAGGAAGACAGCACCTTCTTGCTCTAATGGCTTATAGGCTCAAAAAGGAATATCTGCTTTCTTTTTGCACACTGCAGAGAAGATGCTGTCTTGGAATACCTGAAAATTGCACAGGATCTGGAAATGTATGGTGTGAACTACTTCAACATTAAGAACAAGAAGGGCTCTGAACTCTGGCTAGGTGTAGATGCTCTTGGACTCAACATTTATGAGCAGAATGACAGGTAATAAACCCCCTCTCCTCGTCATTGCCTTTAGCTCCTTTCCAGTATAAAGGCATTCAAAATTAATCTTTTCTGGAATTCAAGTCTTTAACTAAACTCTACAATATCTATGCCATTCTTAGCTGTATTTTTGATATTGCCAGAATGATCCATAAAACCTGCTGATCTGGACCAAAAAATACAAGAAATTGGCAAATCTTATCAAGCTTGTTTTATTTGATCCCTAGTCTTCCTGCCACAGGTGCATTCTCCAGTTCTGTTTTGCATTAAAAAAAGAAAAAGAGTAGGACTGAAAAACTGCTTTTTATGTTTGTAGTTCATTTGCATAACTGATTGTTTGCTGTTTCCAGTCAACATAGGAGTACTGAGATATGAGGGCAGATTTGTTAGAATTCTGAGCTTTGTATTGTAAATCAAGAATCTGAAATGACTTGGGGCTCTCTTATTTCCTTTTGCTTTCTATTTCTGCAGGCTAACACCGAAAATTGGATTCCCTTGGAGTGAGATCAGAAATATCTCATTCAATGACAAGAAATTTGTGATCAAGCCTATTGACAAGAAAGCACCAGTAAGAAGTAACATTTAAATTAAAGTTTTGGCGTCTTAGCTGAATGATCTGACATTTTTTAGTTTGTTTTTTTTATTGCACAAAATCTTTTAATCAATAATGGCAATGCTGACTTAAGCAGTGCTGTACTACCTGATCTGTTCAGGGCAGTAAGCACAGAATGAGTCTAATGGCAGTGAGGTGATAGTTGGGATTTGTTTCTGGCTAGGAGGGTGGAAATTTGTTGAGTATAACCTTAAGCTCCTCAAAGTCAGTGGCAGGGAGCAGCTCTTTGCTTAGGGTTTCTGATTCTCCTAAGATGGTTCAGATTCTCTGATAATACAATTAAGGGTCTGAGGCACCTGTGTTACCTTTGAATGCTTCCTTTGCAGTCTCTTGGCTTTAGTAGTGTGTGGGATGGTCTCTTGCAGTTTTTCACCTTACTTGAAACTGAAATTTCAGGTCATTTTGAAGGTACACCAGGAGGGTTGTTTTCTTGCAAATTTATAATGCACATAATTGGTTTCATCTTTAAGGCTTACTAATTTCCTGTGTCAGCTGATACCTTCTGTTCTTCTGGTCGTTCTTGTTGCATTGCTGCTTGGAAGCATTTCCCTGCTGCTGTTGCTTTGTTTTAAATTTAATTTAAAATTGAAATTAATTTAAAACAAATTACTTTGTTTTAACAGAAAAAAATTATATATCCATTGGACATAATGTTTAACACCCTTTCTGGCATAAGACAAAACATTACACTTGATGTGGCCGGCCAGACTATTGCATTAAATAACTAAGTGGAGGAAAGGTGGGAGAAGTCATAGTTTCAGTGTGCCTGGTAACCAACCCTGATGCTGTTTGTAATGAAACGGTGAAGCTAAGTCACTGTGTACCCTGTGTGTTAGGGATGCTTTACAATGAAACCCAGCACGCTGTGACAAGTTGGGCACTTCTGCCCTATGTGTATCTGTCAGGTTGAAATTAATTCCTGAAAGATAGGTGTCTAACTACCACCACTGATAAACAGACACCGTTAAGAAAAGCTGGCTAGGTATTCTAGAAAGCTTAGGGTCTTGGGGCGTATTGCATACACAGGGGTTTTCTCATGTTGAAAGAACAGGTCTAATGCTGCCTTTTTCTTGTCCCAAGGACTTTGTATTCTATGCCCCTCGGTTACGGATTAACAAACGAATCTTGGCACTCTGCATGGGGAACCATGAGCTCTACATGCGCAGGCGTAAACCAGATACCATTGAGGTGCAGCAGATGAAAGCACAGGCACGGGAAGAGAAGCACCAGAAACAGATGGAGAGGTTGGTAGGGTTCTGAGTAGCCTGGACTTGGTCGATCACTGCACAGTAGCATCATGTGCTAGATAAATTGCTGGCAGCACCTTAATCTGCTTGAGCCAAAAATAAAGCGGATTGCTTTCTGTTTCAGTAGATCTGATGGGATGTTGGAAATGGCACTCATCACAAATGTGACCCACCATCACTTTCTTAGAGTTAAAGATTGGTCTGTCTATTTGATGGGACTAATATGGATCTTGATTTAAGGAGATTTCCTTTGTAACGCTGCTATTACGAACTTGCTATTAAGATGCAAGCAGAGCTTCTATAAAGGGGCATGTCTGGAGTAAAACTCATCAGATGAGTGCTGTAGTGCACATTTCTTATGTGCTCATGGCTTCACTAGGAAGTGCTCTAATCTGAGTAGCTGTTAATTTGACATTGCTTTATGACTTCCCCTTCATCAGAGCCCTGCTGGAGAATGAGAAGAAGAAGAGGGAGTTGGCAGAAAAGGAGAAGGAGAAGATTGAACGTGAGAAGGAGGAGCTAATGGAGAGACTCAAGCAGATTGAGGAGCAAACCAAGAAAGCTCAGCAAGGTAATATGAAATGTTCTAGTATTTCCTTTAGATGCATAGTCTGAGTGAGAAGCGTTTGCGTGGTAAAGCTGTGAGCATCTGTGAGCCATTTGGCTCTCCAGTATTGTGTGATATCTGCTGTTAAAGCCCTGGTTTAGCCTTCTGAAGCTGAACGTAAGCCCTCCATATTCAGCTGCTGAAATAGGACTGGCATTAAAGAGACGAGTGGTAGCCAAGATGCCTCTCTGACAGCAAGAGTACTTTGCAGTTGTTCATGTGCTGGCTGGAAGCTTTATCCCAGCACATCTGTAGAGGAAGGAATCAAAGTGTAGCAGGCATCACACCAGCCAGTATTCTGGTGCGATTACTATCTGATTGCTTGGCCAGTGTCAGAGTGGTGTTGCCCGAGCAATATGCTGTATGCTTCTCTGCCTCTAAAGATGTCATTTTGGGATGGGTAGTTCCCCACAAATCAATCGGGCAAGGAGTCTGTTGGCTTGGAACTGGCCTGGCTCTTAGTCTAGCTCCAGGTACGATGTGAAGGAGAAGAAAGGGGACAGTTGCTTGCATCTCTCCTTTACCTGTCCCTCTGAAGGAGAACCCTCATCCAGAACTTAGGTGTAAGGGCGCCTTCCCTCTCTCCTGCCATTCTTTACTTAATCTCTCTTCAAATGTGTTCCCCTATTTCAGAACTGGAAGAACAGACCCGCAGAGCTATGGAGCTGGAACAGGAGAGAAAACGAGCTCAGGAGGAAGCAGAGAAACTGGCTAAAGAACGTAGAGAAGCAGAAGAGGCAAAGGAGGCCCTATTGAAAGCATCCCATGATCAACAAAAGACCCAGGAACAGCTGGTAAGTGGGTGAGCTGAAAATCAGGTAGGGAAAATAGTGACATGGTAGGCATCTAAGCTCTTGAAACAAGCCATGCTACAAATATAGTGAGGAAGCATAGTTTGGCTCTTTAATTTTTAGCCTCAAGCAGATGAACTTATACCTAAATACAAGTGTATTCTTACAGTAGATCTGGATTGTTGTGCTTTTTGTCTTTCTTTTTTTATTATTTGTATGTGATGCTGAGAACAGAATGTAGAGCTCGCTAATTGCTTTCTCTGGTTTGGATTCAAATAACTGAGTTCTGTAGCTCTGTTTAGAGGAGACAGGAGGCAAGGGGGAGGGGGGGACAAAATAAAGCAACAAAAAAACCCCCACAACAAACCCCAAAAGTTCTTTAGCTTTATCTTCCCTTGCATCGTGGAGGAATTAGTGGGACTGAAGTTTACAGGAAGACTTTCTCCTTACTGAAAAGATGTTAAAGATACTGGTTTTGTTCAGGACTTGGACTAAATGCTTCATTTAACAAGTACTTTGGTTTTGTCCCCATTAAAAGCCTTTCTCTTGCAGGCTTCTGAGATGGCAGAACTCACAGCTAGGATCACGCAGCTGGAGCTGGCCAGGCAGAAGAAAGAGAGTGAGGCCCAGGAGTGGCAACAGAAGGTAAAGCAGAATCTGAGCAAACAGCAATACTTTTTTGTGCTCTTCATTCTGCGTTGTAATTTAAACTACTGCACTAGATACCATGCTAGACTGAGTGTTTGCAAGCTTGAGGCCTTTGTAAATACCCAGCTTTGCTTTTCTTTGTGGAATGAGTGCTCAGTCAAAATATTTCTACATGGAGTTAGAATAATTAGGCCTGTAGCCCATTTTCCATGAATTATGACCATTCTTCAAATCTCTGAAGTGTTAGCCAGCAGAAAGTTTTGCAAATGATTGTAGCTGAGTAGCTTTGGAACATATCACTTCAATGTGCAAGAGGTGCGAAGTTTCCTGTAATAGGCTCTGAGCAGTGCTTCTGTATGCTTCTGTGAGAATTCTCCTGCACTCAGTATAATCCTGACTAACTCACTGTGGCGTGCCCTGTTGCAGGCACAGATGGTGCAGGAGGACCTCGAAAAGACTAAAGAAGAGTTGAAGACTGCCATGAGCACCCCTCACGTAACTGAGCCCATGCACTCTGAGAATGAGCATGATGATGAGCAGGATGAGAATGCAGCAGAAGCCAGTGCTGAGCTACGATCGGAGGCCACCATCAAGGACCGCAGTGAGGAGGAGCGCACCACTGAAGCAGAGAAGAACGAACGGGTCCAGAAACACTTGAAGGTGAGAAGTTGGCAGCAGAGAAGGGCATGTGTCTGGGTGCTACTTCTATTCTTCTTGCCATTAATTGTAGCAGTGAGGTACCATTGGTATTTTAAAAAAAAAAAAGACGGTGGAAAGAAGGGTGATCGTAATCTTGCCAGATTGCTGGTTTAACCATTGAGCAGAGAGGCAGATCTTGTCTCCTGGCACTTGACTTCCATTTCACTGGAAGTAGTGAAGTATTTTCAAGCAGTGCCAGAAAGCAGTATCTCTTCTTGCCATTAATTGTAGCAGTGAGGTACCATTGGTATTTTAAAAAAAAAAAAGACGGTGGAAAGAAGGGTGATCGTAATCTTGCCAGATAGCTGCTTAACCATTGAGCAGAGAGGCAGATCTTGTCTCCTGGCACTTGACTTCCATTTCACTGGAAGTAGTGAAGTATTTTCAAGCAGTGCCAGAAAGCAGTATCTGTCTTGTGTAGTGTGCTTGTGTGAATCTTGCCAGCCATCTGACAGCTGTTCATAGCCCTGGCTGCAATGAATCAGAGAACTTGGTCCAGTTCCTGTCAAGCAGCTGTCTGTAACTGTCTTGTCTGACTGGGTTGCATTGCAAAACCCAGAAAGCACCCCACTAGGGCTCAGCATGGAGGGAACAGTGCTGCACCGCCTTCTCATAAGGAACTCCAGTGTTCTGGTGTTGACTCCTTCAAGCAGTTTGTTACGCTGCGTGCTAGCTGCCTCACTTGCCTCAGGCTTTGCTTGTTCTGCATCATACTGTGGTGGTTACGCACAGGCAGAGTGACAGAGGTGCACTTTATCTTCTGCAGCAAGTTTCTTTGGTGGTAGAAGGCTACTTGCTCAAATTCGGCAAGATGCCTCTGTCTTTAGGCATGTCTCCACTTGACTCTTCTTCTGAAGTACATTGGAGACAGTCTTTCTTACTGTGCTAGGCAAAGATAGATAGGGTGACAGACTGCCTGATGTTTTTCTACCTTTAAATGTTAGGGAAAAATGTTGACAACTTCCACAGAATCACAGACTTGTTTTGTTTGGAAGGGACCTCTTAAGATCATCTGGTCCCACTTCCTTGCTCAAGCAGGGTCAGCTAGAGAAGGTTGCCCAGAACTGTAAATATTCAGGCTTATCTGTTTCCTGTCTCCATGGATATCGAATCTTTAGGAGGATCAGTAAGGAACCTCCTTGTCTTTTTCCAGCTTTAAGTCTCTGGCATGTGCTAACCCATTGCTATCTGTTTCCCCTTCTCCAAAGGCTCTTTCCTCGGAGCTGGCAAATGCTCGGGATGAAACCAAGAAGACAGCCAATGATATGATCCACGCTGAGAACATGCGTCTAGGCCGAGACAAGTACAAGACCCTCCGTCAGATTCGGCAGGGCAACACCAAGCAGCGCATTGATGAGTTTGAGTCCATGTAAACTCTCCCCCTCACCTGCTGCCCTGCACTCTCTTCTTCTTCCCTCTTTCCCATCCTCTCCCGTCATTCACTCGTAATCGTGCTACGCTGGAACCACTACAGAAGAGTGACCATGGTCTTATTTATCGAGTTTTGGGCAAATGCTGGAGTTAAGCAACAGAAGAAAGAATAGTATTTACATCTTCCTGGGGTGGCTTGGGAAAGCAAACGCATATATTGGGGCAAATCTGAAATTGTTTGGCTTTGGATAAAGTCTCACTGCATTTAGTTTTGTATTGCTTACTGAAGTGGCTGTGTTGCTGTCCTCTCCTGTTGGGTGGGGAGGCCAGCAGATACTTTTACTGACTTACGTACAGTAAAGTGCTAACAGTTTGACACTGTGCCTTCCTACTAACTTGCGCAAGCTTCAGTATTAAGCTTAGTAGCTGGGGTCTGAGTTTCTGACTTAATACAGGGTCTGAATCGTGTAGTTGAGAAGGGGAGGCTGGAGCTTAGGAAGAAGGGTTGGAGGTAGAATATGGACTTTCTTTCTAAAAGACCAAAGCTTTTGTCCTTCAAACATAAGCAGACCAAACAGGTTCTGTGGTGTTCCTGCTGTTGTTACCTTTTGTTGTTTAATGATGGAACTTTGAATTTCCTAATTATGAGGAGGCCTTTGGAATATTTCACTGATGCGGTGTGGTTTGGAGCCTCGGCTTCCCTGCTTTCCAGAGGTTTTGCCTCTGGTAAATGGCTTTGTTCACTGTCATTTGTCTGACTTGAATGTGACCAGTCAGGCAGAGATAGTTAAAGAACACTGCCTTCCTTTTTGGGTTTGCCACTGGAAACCTAAAGGGGTAGGTAGAAATGTAAAAGACTAAAAATTCCTGTAGCTGTATTTTCCCTTGCTGAACCAGTACATTTCTAGTCATGTGAATAGGATTTCAGGTTTTTCCATAAGAGGCCTTTTTAGCACATAGTCATTGGTGCCTTATGACTGTGTATAGATCTACTGTAGCTCAGACGTCTTTAGTTTAAACTAGATGCAATCATAAAAAGTGGATCAGCAGCTGGGGACCAAAAACTACTCTTGTATCTGGGTCGCGTACAAGACTGCATCTGTCTTCCTGGCTTCAAGCAGCATTTGAGGGGAGAGGATCCTGAGATATTTGTCCAATTGCTGCCTTAATGCTCACTAGCGTTCTGCCAGATCCCTGGCTCGAGTGCTTTTCCTTCCCCAGAAGGATGCTTTGCCCCTTTGCAGCTTTGAGAACAGAAGGCTCTGTCTCTTTGAAATGGGACACTACTGGTTGTGAGACTGGTCCTGAGAGCCATTTGTACCAGTTGTTGTAATACCCACCACCTCCTGTCTTCCAAAGCTATCCATGCTGTTGCTACCCAGAATCCTTCCTGCCGTTTCTGGGGAGGAAACAGCCATGTATGCTCAGGGTTGAATTGGATTTTGCCTTGATCCTTCACAGAAGGAAGTGTTAACCTTCGGAAGAGGCCTGTTAAAAATGGATTCCACCTACAATGGAGTCCTCCTTTTGCTTTGCCCTCCTTGGATTAGCCTGTCGTCAGGCTAGCCTGTTACTTATTTTCTTGCCTGGCATGATCCTAAATCTTGTGACTTTCTCAGTTTTGTGGATTCCCCCTTTGTATGGGTCACTGCTAGTGGTGATAAAATGAAAACATCTGAATGCTAGAGCATTTTCCGCTCCCTGCTCTACGGGGAAGGTAAAGGGGGACTGTGCCAAAAAGAAATGTTCATGATAGTGTTAATAAACCGCAGTATTTCCCCAAGAATTCCTTGGGCTACTGGAAAAAGCCTTACCAGTGCTGTATTATTTTATTTTTTGGAAGCAATACAAGTCTGTGTGGAGATCCACACAAATACCAACCAACCAACCTCTGTTAGGAGCATAGCTTAGTGTGTTGCTTCTAAACATCCAGCTAAGTCATGTGGGAGACCCCTTCTCTCCCCTGGACGCAGTACACTTTTGGGGGGCACACAACATGGTAAGCTTTTGGTTGGCCAAAACCACATGCCTCAGTACTTTGAAAGTCACAAATGAAAGACTGCAGTTAAATTGGTCAGAACTGATTTGCATATTTCTACACAGAAGGGTTATTGGCACTGGCTCTATGTGAGTCTCATTACTGGGGGAACAGACAACCTTTACACTTCTGTTTTTGGTGCTTTAAAGCTGGTTCTCAGCACTTCTGCTCTGTCCATGGCAACTATCGATGCATTTGGGGGGGAGAAAAGTCTTTATTACATTTTAACAATTTCCTAACAAGCTGATGTATAGTGCCTGGAATATGTGTTCAGATAATAAACCAGTAAACCTTTTCTGCTTTGATGGGTCACACAACACTGCTGAGCTCATGTATTATGATGCTGGCATGACTTCTGTTTATAGGGTTTTTTTTTAATCGTTCTAATTCCAAATGGTCCAATATAGGAATAGAACGGCTTGTGCCAGTGAGTCCACCTAACTCTTTGTAGTTGTTTCAGCCCTGCCTTCTTCTTAACCAGTATTATATTCCAGTGGTATCTAATGATATTTGATTTCAATACTTCTAGCTATGCACAATTAGAAAATATTAGTCATGGGATAGAGGATATGTTTATGGTCCTCCTTCCCTTGGAAATGTATACTGTATTGTAAAGAAATGATATTTTGCAAGAAAACTAATGTAAGAAGCTTTCAGTATTACAGTGAGATTTGTAGACATGTTTTTTTATTTGTTAGAGTACAGTGAATTGTTCTTCTTCCTCTCCATGTTCCAGTTTAATTGGATAACTACTCCTCTTGGGGGGTGGGGGGAGGGAAGTACTTTATCAAATATTTGCCTGGCTTGGTTTTTTTTTCTTGTTTTATTTTTTGTTGCTGTAAATTATGTTGAGGTTTTTTGACCAGTCTTTTTACTGGATTATAATAAAACATCAGTTCCTTAAGGATGTGGAGTAATTAATGGGTCCATGTGCTTATCTGCAGAGAGAACCTTGATGTTAAGGCATTTTTTTCCTTATGGAGGAGTTGTTAAAATCCATGCTCTGTTCTTCCTAAAGTGCCAATAAAGTTCAGAGAAATTCAGCAGAATGTGTCTGGCTGGTTACTTAAGTCTTGCTTTGAATCTAGTGCTGTGTCTCCAAGCTAAACAGGTCTTCCACCTGGTTCCCAAGAGGTCAGCTTTGTAGCACTGTCGCAGATGAGAAGATATTACTTGCATCCTGAAAAACAGCTGTTTGAATAACATCCCTTTCCCCCTCCCCAGCCCTGCAAGCTGTCTGACTGGAGGCAGTACTAGAATTCGCATTTCTTTGTGCAGACACGGCGTATAAACTTGTATTGTGTTTAACTTGCAAATGGACCAGTCAAATGGAGGAGGAGGAGGAGCTGCTGTTGGAAGTTGCCACCGGTGAGTGCCTGCTGGGCCGTGGTCAGGCCCGTGTACATCCAGGACCAGGTTGGCGTGCAGAGGGTGGCCGGGCCTCGATGCTGCTGCGTGCCCCTGACGTCCTGCTGGGTCTGTCCTGCCCAGACCCTGCACCGGGCATTTCAGCCCTATTTGTTTTGCAGCTACCTTGCCATGGTTATCTCTACCTGTGTTTCCTGAGGTCTTGGGACTGGGTCCAGCGATGGAATAGCAGGGACTACCACTTTTCTGCTAATGTGATCTCCCTTTGTAGCTGCTTTCAATGTGGTTGTGAAGGGGGGCTTTGCAGAACCTTTGTCATGTGGCTGCTGCACTGCAGAATCAGGCAAAGATTTCATCAGAACATGTTTGTGCTCAGAGATCTGGTGTTAAGGGAGAAACCTGAACTTGTCTACAAACAAAACGTGAAGTGTAGAGCAATGGAGATTTCTGCAATCCCCACCAGGCTTGGCGTGGATCCAGTTTCCATAGGTGGGTCTTTCTTGTTCCTTCCTTCCAGGATTCCAAAAACCTGAACGCTACTGGAGGAATTGCATGTCTGCCTCAACGCTACTGCAGCCTTCAGGTGAATGTTGCACTGGTCTGGGATGGTTGCTCTCACAAACAGGGTTCTTGTTGCTTTTATTGCCCTTGCTTCTCGATGGACAATACCTTTCAGCTTGTGCTTACATTTCTGGAGTCGCTGAGGACTCTCTGCTTGCATTTGGCCTAGGATACCTTGTCCTCCTACTTGGGGTCCATGCAACTGTAGAAATAAGGATGCGATTGCTTTTTCCTTCTGCTTTCACTGTCCAAGGCAGGGAATTGCAAGGGGTCAGTCTCCAAATTCTGATTTGTTTTGATGTAGGCAGATCCTGTAGGGACTTCTCTGGGTAGATGATAAGCTTATTGGTTGCTCAGGCTAATAGGTTTGGAGGGAAGCACGGGCATTTTCATTTAAGTGACCTGGTGTGAGATTCTCGGAGAACAGATGAACAGGCTCGGTAGCCTTCCAGCCACTTCCTTTTTTTCTGTGATGAACAATAAAAAATGTGAACGCCCTCTGATGCCACACTTATCAGTTCAGGTCAACTTGTGTAGGATACTGTTAGTAACTATGGCAACTTAATAAAGGAACTAGATTAGATTTTGCTCTCTACTTATCAGGGCAGGACTCTGCCTTTTGACAGCACTATCTTCTTGAAATCTGTTTGGGGTTGTGGAACCAGTAGACAGTTGATCTCAGACGCCACACAAGATTTGTTCCCCCCTTTCTCATGTTAGCTGGTCCTAGAAGCTGATAATTCTGTCTGTAACTGGGCTTCAGACTTGGTGTATCATGTGGCAGTAGCTCTCCATGAAGTTGCTGCATCTAATGGCTGTTTTCCAACATCTTGCAAAGCTTGATAATGCAACGTACAGGGTAAGGTACGATAATCATAGACAGTTGTATGGCAGCTGCTTGAACATCTACAAAGGCAGACCGTCTCCCAGTGAGAAAGCAGAGAATAACTGAGGCATGGCTTGTTTGCCCTGTGCAATCAGTGTGAGCGTTCTGTTGAGTGCCAGCTTCGCAGCTATACGTAAGCTCAATCTTGGGCATACAGTCTAATTATCTTATGCCAGTGTATAACTGGAGCATGTGACAACTGGCAGAGAACAGTATCATTCATCTGTGACTGATGTCAACCCATAACTGCTGCATACCCTTATGCAATTGACTCCACATGTGATGTTAATGTCTCTCTTGCAGAAAAATTAACTTATCTGTAAGAGAAAGGATCTGGGCCTCAGTGCACTGAATGTCAGGCTGATGCTGGCTTTTGTCTTGCAGGTCTGCAGCTCTAATTTAAGTGCAGTTTGTGAACAAGGGTGCAGGTCCTTTTGACTGAACAATGCCTAAATAAACGTCTAGTGCCAAGTGATGGATCTCTGAAAGTTACTAGTAATTTTAAGGTGGACTTTCTCAGGATAGAAGGCAGGCTGAAGCGGCTATAGGGAAAAGCGAAGGAAAGAATGAGGAGGAGACATTAACGAGAGACTAGTGCTGAGACTGCAAGAAGGAATATTGGGAGCTCCTGGAAGGGACTGTACCTTCAACTTCTGTTGAGAATGCACTTGCTCTGAGCAAGTTAATGGCATGGATACAGCTTTCTGGTGAGCAGAGCTAGTTGGAAAATTACAAGCACCCATGATTGCTACTGCCTCTGGTTGTGCATCATCTTTTAAAGAAATACAAGCCAGGGTTGATCTTCAATCATCAAGATTTACTGAAGAGTCAAGGGGATGTGAAATATACTGCTCTTGAGCTGGGAGGTTACAGTGAAGGCTGTCTATACCCCACATGCAGCAGTGTTGCCCTCCCATCCATCTTTGAAGCATCCTTGACTGAAGGAGAAGCATCTGCAAGTGAAGGCCTTGGCTGGGGCACTGTAACTTCTTGGTGGCCTTCACCCAGCCAGGCAGCAGCTGCGTTGCCAGGGGTGGCTTCTGTCACGAAGCCCTGTTGTGAATTGATTTTTGTTTCCCGGTTGCAGTGTTGGTGTGTCTCTGGTTGCATTACTGCCCTCCTGCTTCCAGTGGTGAAAATTTGGCCCTTGCTCCTTTTGTTCGTAGTCATTCTCGGAAGGCTGCTGAACATCTAGGGAAAGGTTGGAGCTGGCAAACGGTAGTCTTGTTTGATAGATGTAGAAACTGAGGCATGTTTACGGTCTTCCCCCCAAGCTGCCAGCCTCTATGAGGCAGTATCTGAGACTCGAGCACACTTGATGTAAGCACTTTGTCTGCAGGTTTGTGTTTGGTGCATCTGTTTTGGGGCAGCACTCTGTACCTGGTTCTGTGGCCTTGGAGAAAGCAGAACAAGCACAAGTTGTCCTATTTGCTTTTATTAGCAGCTTGTTGTGGAACAGGAAAGGTGGCTAATGGGTTTTCCTAGTGACAATGGGGAAAGGGAATTTTAGTTTTGTTCAGTGGCTTTAGTTCTGTTGTGGAAGCTGCCTGTATCTGCTTCCTCACAGGAATATTTGTGAGGTGGTGGGCTCGGTAGGAGGTGGGGGGTAGCCTGTTCTTGCTGTTCAAGTTAAGAACGAAGGCTGCATTCTGGAAACCGTCATTATTCCTGGGTCTGTGTACCTGCTGCTCTGACTACAGCCTCTGAGACTTCCCCCATGGGAACAGCACGGGCTTGCCTCTGGTTACCTCCTGGCAGCGATGGAGCCAGTGCAGCTCTGACCAAGAGCGCTGCTCTGTCTCAGGTGTGTGTTTTATCCATCATCCCTCATTCACACTCCTCAGTGGCCAACCAAGAATCCTTTCCCCCATTTCTTTGAGAGGTAAAATGAGGCACAGAGGATGATGTGTTTCTTCCAAGGCAGAAGAGTTGTGGCTGAACCTGGTGAAATACAGAAGTCAGCTCAGACTTCCAGCTCTGCGCCCTTCGTGTCCCCAGGCTGCCTGCCTTCCCGCCTTCCCACACAGCTGGAGGAGAGCACGGGCCAGTCCTGCTTGCTCCAAACAATAAAGGAGTGATTACTTCTGTATTGGGACACAGTGGTGGTCTTCAGCTTTGTCCTGACTTGTTTAGTTCCTCGCTCAGTTCCTCCCTCTCCTCCGGACACTCTTACTTTGGGGGTTCCACTGTTGAACACCTGGGATTTTATCAAATACTGATTTGATAAAATGCTCCAGTATTGGAGCATACAGGTGTTAATTTGCTTGCCTGGATGACACCTGTAACCTTTCTGCATATGTTGCAGCTCTCCCATAGATAGGGGCCAGCTGTTCTCTGACTGGGGGGTGTTTTCTGTCTCTGCCCTATCCTGCTCTTGTGGCTGCTCTGCTGTGGGACAGGCTACCTCTCCTGATTCTTCTTCTCCTGCTCCTTTGCAGAGGAACTTCCTCCTCCCTTAATTTATCGAATGTATTAAATCTTGATTCAAATGGTAGTGAAGTTACTCTCACAACCCCAGAACTGCAGCATCACTAAAACTATATTAATGTGTATATTAATACCTGGGGGATTCCATCTGCTTTCCGAGAGGCAGCAGACTAATACGGTAACTTTAAACCTTCCATCTAAGGTGTCATGGAAGCCACAAACTTTACAGAAGAGCTCTTCTGGTCAGAGCTGTTTGTACAGAGTGTCTTCTGCCCAAAGGAACTGATGCAAGTCTGCCTCGTGCCGACTATGCTGATGTGT